AGGCTGGAAGGGGCTGCAGCACTGAGATGGGAGATGAGGTGCCTGGATGCAGGGTCCTGGGAGCAGTAATGGAGAGGAAGGAGGCCTGCAAGACACAGGGTAGCCAAACGCTACCCAACAGGGACTCTGCTGGTCTGTGGAAGGAAGAGTCAAGGACAGCGAGGTCTGGAGCCCGCTCCTGGGAGTGCAGGACCTTGTCAGACGAGCCGACCTGGGGACACAGCGTAGGGCTGAGGTGCAGGGTCAAGAGGCACTCTGAAATGTGGACGGGTGAAGGAAGTACAGATCTGAAGGTCGTGAAAGGGCAGATGGCCTCAAAAACTGTGGGAGTGGATGAAATGGGCAAGAACACAGAGCCACCAGAGGAGAGGAAAGGACAGAGTGGGAAGGAGAACCAGGGTGTGGTGCAGGCCGGGAGAGGAGGGAACGAGTGATCATCACAGCCAAAGCTCTGGCTCACCGATGGGGGAAGCTAAGCTACAAAAGAGAAGAGAGCTGAGCTAGCAGATTTGGGAGGAGCCAGAATCCAGAATGAGGATGAAAAGATGAGTCTTGGAAAGAAGGAGCTTTCTTCCCCAGAAAAGGAAACATAGCAAAAAATGAATGGAGAAAGACATGGAAACATCTCAGCTGGAAAAGGATCAGTGGTTAAAGATGTTCGACAAGGGGAGAGAAAAAGATCCATGGTGACACTCAATTTCAGTATCTGTGCGGATCTCAGCTTTATTATGAACTGAGCAAGACAATGCAGGATTAGAAGCCAGACCTAGGACCTAACTAAAAATTCCCACGGTCACGTCGGCCAGTGAGAGATCCCTCTCTCTTTTAGTACTGTATCACCCAAAGAGCCACAAGAAACACGCAGTAATTGATGGAAGAGTCTCATCGGCCTTGTATTACTTAATGCAAATTTTCTTTTCCTGCTTACTTTTTCAATAGCGTGGCTTACAACTCTCTAAAACAGGAGTTGGCTAACTGTGGCTCACAGGGTGGTCTGTCAGCTGTGTTTATAAATGAAGTTTTGCGGGGGGCATAGCCATGCCTATGGTTCACGCACTGTCTTCTGCTCTTGAGCCAGCGGAATTCAGCAGCGGCCACAGGGACTTCATGGCCCACAAAGCCTAATATCCACTCCCTGGTCCTTTCCTGGAAAAATTCACTGACCCTGCCTTTGAATCATGAAGCTCTAGCTGCACGGATGCCCCAGCCAGGAGGGGAGGTGAGGGCATAGCAGGGAGACCCCAGCCCCAAGTGTGCAGGCTTTGCTAATATCACCATCCTGGGTGTGTAGTTAATATTTTAAGACTGCAAATGTCTGAAAAGTATTGATAAAGAGATTATAAAAGAATTCTTTGATACTGTGGATGATTATACATAAATAAATTAGGGTAATTTATCACAATGGTGGCTATGCAGCCCTCTGAACAAATTCCCTAGAACACCAGAATCTAGGTCCAGACAACAGCTGCCAGGCTCCAGGCTAACTATGCATCAAGCACATGGGGGCACATCTATCTGCATACCAGGATCAGATGCAAGAAACCTGATGAGAATTTCCTTGCTGATACAAACCACACACACCAAAAGCAGCATTCACGCTGATGAATTCTAAGATAGTCTGGAAATGGCAATAACTTCTATGAATATCTGGCTAATGACAATACACCCCCAACACATGCAGATGAAACCCGAATGTCATAACATCTCAGATGTGTCAGTTACAAAGAGTGACACAGACCTTACCTATACATCTGGAGCTACAAAATAAGAGAAGAGCTCATGTAGAAGTCTCTTTAATTTCCTGAATATACAAATTTTGATTCTGAATATACAACGTTATCTATTATGCTTTGTTCTTATTTCTTAATCTAGAAATGTATTAATAGTTTCTCTTCAGTTTCTCCATTTCTATGTAGCTTACTAATTCCTATAATATGTTACTCTAGTACCTTTTACAAATATGCCTCTTGAAGTTTCAAAGTGTTGCTTTAATTATCCTGGTTACTCTAAATTATGTTCCTTGACTTTTGATAATGATAAAATATTTTAGAGGTGTTGATCCTTTCGTTTCCAACTGTCTTAAGAACATGACATGCACAGAGGTTCTGAACAAACACCTTCTGGTTCTCTATCATTGTGGAGAAAGGGCCCTTAATGATGTGCAGGCCCTGTTCTGTCTGAGCTGCAGGGAGCCGTCGCACGGCACGTCCATCTTCTTGTGTCACAAATGTGCACATCTCAGGCCTTAGCATCTGAGGATGGGGAACGTCTTGAGCCCTCACTGTCAGTGTATTAAGTGTGAATAACAACAAGCAGAGCCATACGAGGAAAAACCACCTGGATGGGGACCGCATGGTATGCTAAGCCAGCCTGATGGGAGATGCACATGCAGTGTCCCTGTCATGCTGTCAGGATGGACCCACAAGGATGCAGGATTTCATTCCAACAACCACAAAGGAGAAGTACCATCCACTTGTTACAGCCTCTTCATGGTCTTTAACCGCTTGTCTTTCCTCTAGCCTTTGGGCAAAAGAGGTTTCTACAGACTCTATCCAAGTACTTCACCTTGAGGGACCAGAGGTACTACAAGTTGGTGGTTTACTTGACCCTAAATTCCTTAAAACACAGACATACACACAATATTTTCTTATTTGTAGGCTTCTGATGGCCTCAACAAAAGGTTGAACACTGCCAATTCTGACTTTTTACTTCTTTTGCTTTTGCCACAGGAGTAAAAAAAAATTTTTTTTTTTTTTTGGCGGTACGCGGGCCTCTCACCGTTGTGGCCTCTCCCGTTGTGGAGCACAGGCTCCAGACACGCAGGCTCAGAAGCCATGGCTCACGGGCCCAGCCGTTCCGCGGCATGTGGGATCTTCCCAGACCAGGGCACGAACCCGTGTTCCCTGCATCGGCAGGCGGTCTCTCAACCACTGCGCCACCAGGGAAGCCCTGGAGTAAAATATTTTAATTCTCTTTTTCTTATTTTATTATTTTGCCACTGCTTTCTTTCAAAATTTCTTTTCATATTTACAGAAAATTCCTGGATACTCTAGGAACTTATCTATGTGCCAAATTAGAAATTACTGAAATGTCACACACTGAGAAGCTATATTTAGGTTACACTGAGTCTTAACGTACCTGAGTAACGCAACCTTTTATAGTTTGGATAAATTTAATTCTCCATGCTATAATTTCCTCCAATATTCCACATGTAACTACATAAAGGGAGAAACAAATGCAGGGAGTAATCTGTTCAAAATTATGTGTTTCTCTTGGTAAGATTCCTGATATTTCCTTAGAAGTGTACTCAATCAGAAAACACACATTCCTAAGGTAAGAGCGAGGGGCAGAGGTGGAGGGAGTTACACGTCTCCCCTGCCCAGGTGGCTGCCAGACAAAGCACACTGACCGAGCCTCAGGGCTATCTCAGGTTCCAAAACACAGAGGAAGAAATTTTAGCATCTAAAAATCTTTAATAGTCATATAAATTTCTGTTTAATTTTTATCTATGATTTCAAATAGAGGTTCCCAGTACACATTAACCAGTGTATGTTCCTGAAAACGTTTTAAACTGAAATTTAATACTACTACTTTGCATGTGAGTGTTACTTTAAAAACTGTGGAGAATTTTCCTATTTTCTCCTTTTTACTCACACTGGGTACAAAGGAAAGACATTATCATTCCTTTCCTTCCCACTAAAAAACTAGAGCAGGGAATACTGACTTCTGAAGAAGCCAGCAGCTGTTAACGTGAGAACTGGGACTAGACCCAGCCCTCCAGACCGGCTGCCTGTTTCCTGCTGGTAGACAACCAGTCTCACTGCGGATTCTGAAAAGGCTGTTGCTTTTAACCTCAACTTCATGCTGAGCAAGTGCCACTGGGGCCAAGTCCTGAGAAGTCAGTTTGGAATTCCTCTAACTCTGTCAAGTAGCCAATAATCTAGAAATACTTTTTGAGTCTGAGAAGCTGGCAGAGTATTTCATTCATTCATTTCACTTACCTACTTTCTAAACATGGAGTTTTCGGATAAGAGGATAGATGTGGGAGGACGCCGTGCACCTGCCCTGTGATCGATGATCAACCACTGCACAGGGAGGTGCAGCTTCCATGTCCCTGGATGCGGCTGACCCTGGTCCACCCCATTTGAATGGAGAACATACTGAACCATCGTGGCACCACATTCAAAGCAAGTGATTTACTTTGTGAATAATTTTTTATTGAAATGTTTAAAAATCTCAATCCACAGCTGAAAATGGATCAGACAGATCTGGACCTCATGCTGTGCCTTCCACACCAGATGAATGTGGCGCAGTGAGGGGGTGGCTAGGGTGCAGGCAGAGAAACAGGACCCTTCCTCACCCCCTCCACGCAGCCCCCTGCTCATCCAATATGCTGCTTTCCTCTAACAATTCTCACTTCATCTCCTGTTTTACACTATTTCCAAACATCTTACCAATGCTTCCTAACTCTGTGCTTCTTTAAATACAGAGGATCCTATGTATCATGGAACCTACACACAAAGTAACATGAACCACCCCAGAAAGCTGAATGCCTATGGCAGAAAACCATATAAGCAGTAGTGATGAAAGCCTCCCCTTCCTAAGTGACTTCCAAAGTAAGGGCAAACTCACTCTGAAGTCCCCAGCCTTGTTTATTAGCAAATTAAAATTTCATTTAGGAGCATATTTTAGCATGAGGAGAAGAAAGTATGTAACCAGATACGGCTGCAAGTTTCTCTAATGAACAAGATTCCTCTACAAGCAGAGGAGACGTCTGGGATGTAAAGAATAGTAAAACCAAGGGTTTCACAAAACAGTAAAACCAACGCAACAAAGCAGCCCAGAAGCAGGAGTGGGGCTCTGTTCTGTCCCTCGGATGGATTCCATGGCCGAGATGCGCAAATAGAGAAATTCCAAAATAAAAAGGGCAGGGTTACTCAGCAGCCACTCAGACGTAAGGACAACGAATAACGCAGACGACTGCCCAGCAGGGTACTCACCTAGGTGCGTCTGAGCCATGACGTCAGCCAGCCTGTGGGCGGCGCCGCTCCCCCCACTCTGGGTGGAAGAGGAGGAGGTGGTGGAGGTGGTGGAGCCGTGGATGGCCTGGCTGATCCAGTGCTCCATGTTGATGCTGCCCTGGCTGGAGGTGGGGGTCCCCTGGGAGTCGCCCTGCACCGAGCCTTCGTCTTCTGAGCCAGAGGAGGTATCTGTGGGAGGGAGGTGATCAGCCGTGTATCACAGCAAAGAAGCCCCCCCCAGGCTTAGTCCCTCCCCAAACACTGCAAACACAGACCTACCTCCCACACTAAGTGATCGATGACCTTTGAACACTCTTGAAAAATTACACACTTTTCAGATGGCAAATTATTTTTGACTGTAGTGAATCTTCATCCAAAACACCTTACATATATATGCTACAGAAAGTTTTGACATTATAATCTCAGACAAAGACATACTCACCAATTTCCTCCACTCAAGAGTGTGAGGGAGAAACCAAATGTTTTCTGTGTACTCAGACACCAAGCGAGAAGGTCAAGGTGGCGTTTTCTAAAAGACACTGAACTTTCAAGTGTTTCGAAGTGTGATGCTCTGTAGCCCTTCTTTATACTGAGGTGTTTCTCTGAGTCATGTGCTATTTTAAGTTCCATGTGAGTGTGGCAGGTCTCATCCTCCTGCCTCTCTCAATGAATGATCTGGACTTCTCTACCAACCTACATCTAAAGACTCTGCCTCCTCCTTTCAGGAGGACAGTAAATCACTACACGACATTCTGTGATCAAACTAAATGCATTTACTTTTATATTTGTTCCTTATAAAAAATTTTTAATTATTTACTTGATTTATTTTGCTATCTATGAAAACTGTATCTTGGATTGAGCAAAAACATGTCACTTTTTGCATTAAAATTAATGGAAATAGTATTCATTTAATAACTTTTCACCTAGAAGCAACGTTTTCAAGAACGAATTGTTGTATACTTGTTATTTAAACTTCAATATAAGAATGACATTTAGGATCGTACATATAGGTGAGTTATGTGAGATGCCAGGAGGAAAAAAGGATGAGAGTAGCTCTAGAACATTTATTGAGAATAAGTGAAAGGGTAATTTGTCTTAAATCAAGACATAGGACTTTTTCTTTTTTTAATGTTAATTTTGCTGTTTATTCACTCATTCATTCATCAATACTTATTAAGCACTTACTAATGTATTAGTTACTGTTCTTTTTTTAAAATTAATTTTTATTGGAGTACAGTTGATTTACAAGGACTTTTTCTTTAACACAGCAATATCTGTAAAGGATATTTACATTGCATTTTATTATCATTGTGGCGTGACCTAGGCTGTCTAGAAATTTTTTAAGTTTATCTATTAGAAATTTGTTACAGAAGCAACAATAATATTAGAAGGCCAACAGATTCTCTTCTCTTGTCCTTCCTTTTAAAATAACTTAGAATTATAATTTACATAAAAATAAAATTTATATTTTTGGAATTCAGACCTAAGAATTTTGTCAATTTTTTTGAAATTGTGGTAAAATACACATAACATAAATTTTACCATTTTAACCATTTTTAAGTGTACAGTTCAGTGATATTAAATACATTCATAATGCTGGACAACCCTCCCCATAACTCATTTCACCACCATCCATCCACATAACTCATTTCTTCTTGTAAAACTGAAACTCTGTCCCCATTAAACAGTAACTCTCCATTGCCCCTTCCCCCTGCATCCCCTGACAACCACCACTCTACTTTCTCTCTGTGTAATTCTGACTACTCTAAGTACCTCATGTAAGTGGAATTGCACTTTTGTCTTTCTGTGACTGGCTTATTTCACTTGGCATAATGTCCTCAAGGTTCATCCACTTTGCAGCATGTGTCAGAATTTCCTTCCTTCTTAAGGCTGAATAACATTCCATGATATGTACAGACCACATGTTGTTATCCGTTCATCTGCTGTGGACACTTGGGTTGCTTCCATGTTTTCGCTGTTGTGAATAATGCTGCTGTGAACATAGGTATATAAATATCTCTTTGAGAGTCTCCTTTAAATTCTTTTGGGTATGTACTCTGAAGTGGAATTACTGGATCATATAGTAAATTCTATTTTTAATTTTTTGAGGAACTGCCATTCTGTTCTCCAAAGAGGCTGCACCTCTATGCACCTCATTTCCACCAAGAGTGCACAAGGGTTCCAATTTCTTCATATCCTTACCAACACTTGTAATTTTTGTTCCTTTTTTTTTTTTTGATAGTAACCATCCTCATGGGTGTGAAGTTGTATCTCTTCGTAATTTTGATTTGCATTTCCCTAATGATCAGTGATGTTGAGTATCTTTAAGTGTAATTATTGGCCATTTGTGTATCTTCTTTGGAAAAATATCTATTCAAGTCCTCAGACTTAAGACTTCTGAGAAATGTATACACCCGTATACCCACACAGAACATTACCACCTCCCCAAAAGTTTTCTCATGCCCCTTTACAAATCAATCTTTCATTTCCCACCCAATCTTTTCATAAGAAAACTACAGAACAATATCATTCATGATATAGACACTAAAATCCTCAAAAATAGTAGCAAACATTATCAAGCAACATATAAAATGACCAAGTGGTAACCAGGATTACACATATGAACATGAATTAAGGTTAATTTGACATTCAAAAATGAATTAATGTTATATACCATATTAGTAGAATAAAGAGAAAAAAAAAGTATGTTAACCTTAAAAGTCAGAAAAAGTATTTCACAAAACCTAACACCCACTCATGATAAAGTCTCTCAACAATGCAGGAACGGAAGGAAACTTCCTCAACCTAATGAAAGGCATTCATGAAAACTCAGAGCTAACACTGTATATACTGGTAAAAGACTGAATACATTTCCCCTAAGATAAGAACAAGGCAAGAATGTCCCCTCTTGCCACTTCTATTCAACATTACCCAGCAGGTTCTGGCCAGTGAACTACAGGGAAAAGTAAAAATTAAAGGCATCCAGATTAGAGAGGAAGTTGTAAAACCGTCTTTATTCACAGATGACATGATCTTATATGTAGGAAATTCTAAGGAACACATGGAAAAATTCTTGAATTAATAAATGAGTTAGCCTCTTCTGCCAGGTAAGGACACAGTGAGAACATGGACGACTGTGAGGAAGAAGGCTCTCACCAGACAATGGCTCTGCCAGCACCCGCATATTCTCAGCATCCAGAGCTACCTTTGCATTGACAAAGTCATCAATGTGCCCAGCTAATTTTCCAGTTATCCTTGAAGTGGGGGGTTGCGGGGGCACTTAATCAAAATTTGTTGAGTGGAGCTTCCAAGGAAGTTCTTTAATGGGGACTGCCTCTGCTGAGAGGACTAAAAGACAATGGGACAAGATGAATTTCTGCAGTGGGACAAGCACACACAAAGTGAGAGAACCAAGATATCTCTTATCAAAGCAGATAGGCATCAATGCTCCCCCACACCCTTTCCTGGCTGGACAGACTGCAAATTATTCCCACCTCCCAGGGAACAAGCACACGTTGACCTAGTAGTCAGAAGTCAAAATCCAGCCATCCAATCAGTTAGCATGCGCTGTCACTGTGGCAGGTGAAAAGAGTTGCATAGTTATACATCGGACTTCTTAAATTCACAGGACCACCAAAAAAAGATATGAAATATCTTTATAAGATACTAGCACTGAACAATAAGGGAATGACATTAAGAAAACAATTCCATCATGATAGCATCAAAAAGGATAAAACACTTAGCAATATATCTAACAAAAAATTAAGACAATACCTAGTAAAATCCCAGAAGGCTTTTTTTAAGAAATTGAAAGCTTATTTTAAAATTTATTTGGAAATGCAATGGCCTGAGAATAGCCAAAATAATTCTGAGGAAGATGGAGGACTTCATTACCTGATACTAAAACTTACTATGAAGTTACAGTAATCAAGATAGTGATATTAGCACAAGAATAGGCATATATTTCAATGGAACAGAACTGAACCCAGAAATATAGTCTTACATTTATGATCATGGTCAATTTATTTTTGACGAAGATCCCAAGATAATTCAATGAGAAAAAGATCATCTTTTCAACAAATGGGCTGGGTAACTGAATATTCACGTATCAAAAAACCAAACCAAAATAAAAAACATAGATCCTTACCTCATGCCATAAATAAAAATTAATTCAAAATGGATCACAGGCCTGAGTGAAAGAACTAAAACTATAAAATTTCTGAAACTTCCCAAAGCACAATCCATAAAATAACTGATGAACTGAACTTCATCAAAATGGAAAACTCTTAAGCTATGGGTAACATAACAAGCCACCACTAATTCAGTGGCTTACAACACTGCACATATTTATTATCTTAACAGTTCTGGAGGTCAGAAGTCTAAGAACAAAGTGTTGGCAGGGTTTTATTCCTTCTGGAGGCTTCAAGGGAGAAGCCACTCCTTTACCTTTTCTACCTTCTTAGAGCCCACCTGTGTCACCAGCTCATGGCCCCTTCATCGATCTTTAAAGTGTATCCCTCCCTCCCTCTGGTTCATTATCTTTTTTTTTTTTTTTTTTTACTTTGATACTCTTCCCTAAGGACCTTTTTTCCTCCAGTTTTATTGCATTAGAATTGATATATATCACTGTATAAGTTTAAAGTGTACAGCATAATCGTTTGACTTACATATATTAGGAAATAATTACCATAGTAACTTTAGTTAGCATCCATCATCTCATATAAAATAAATAGAAAAAAAACTTTCTTCCTTGTGATGAGAACTCTTAAATTTTACTCTCTTAACAACTTTCACATAGATCATATAGCAGCGTTAACTATAGTTATATTGTACATCACATCCCTAGTACTTATAACAAGAAGTTTTTGCCTTTTGACCACCTTCCTCCAATTCCCTCTCCCAATACTCCCTGCCTCTGGTAACCACAAATCTGATCTCTTTTTCTGTGAGTTTTTTTTTTTTTTTTTTTTTTAACATTCCACATGTGACTGAGATTACACAGTATTGTATTTCTCATTCTCTGCCTGAATAGAGACTTGATTACAGTGGGCCCACCTGGTTAATCCAGGGTAACTGCCCTATCTCAAGATGCTTAACTTAATCATAACTGCAAAGTCTTTTTTACAATGTAAGGTAATATATTCACAAGTTCTAGAAATTAGGACATGGATATCTTTGGAGGGGGCCAT